ATTTTAATGAAGGAATGCCAAGATAACATTAATATCATATGGCTCATTTTAAATGTTACATTTGTCTCTCAAGGGAACATGATGCCAGAAGTCAAAATCGTAGGCCTGCTTGCCCTTCTGGCCCCTGAGATAAAACCAGGGTTTTGGAGACAGAAAATTAGAGCCCATGACACAAGAAATTTAAACTGGCAGTTTGAGTTGTTGTTGTATGCTGTCGAGTCGGTTCTGACCTATAGAGACCCTGTATAGGATTTCCAAGGGGCAGCTGGTGAGCTTGAACTGCCCACCTTGTGGTTCAAAGTGACTTTGCAGCCCGGTGCATTAACCGCAGCGCCACACCAGGGCTCCGGCAGTTTGACAGGCATGTTTTATTTGACTCATACGGCTTTAAGGCTTTTAACCAGTTGCCATGATTTCAAAATCTGGAGCTCTCAAAAATTCCAATGGTCTTTCTTAATTTTACAACAAAAACCCCACGTTCCTACAGTCATTCATTCAACAAATATGCATTGACTGTGTACTGAGTCACAAACAGGTTCTATGGTAGTGAAGACAGCTGTTAAAAAAGACAAACATCCCTGCCCCTATGTGGACAATCCTGAAACATCAAAGGTATCAATCCACCTGCCTGGCTATGTAGGTACACTAGATTACACCCATTGATTGACTGTCTCTAAAAGAAATTTTAAAAAGTATATTTAAATTTGTTCTGCTTTTTTATTACCCCGATCAGGCTCGTTGGTTATCCAAATAAGAATAATTTAAGCCCTAAACCAAAGTCCTGGTGTGGCGCTAAGGAATAAAGCATTGAACCACAAGGTCGGTTTGAACCACAAGGCCAACAGTTCAAACTCACCAGCCGTTTCCTTGGAAATCAGATACAGTGTCGCTAAGCGTCAGAACTGACTCAACGGCACTTGAAACAAAAAACTGACGTAGGTCCTTTTTTTATTATATTTTTTAAGCTTTTATTGTACATCGAATGATAGTTTACATGGGAGAACATGGGTTTTACACTCATCCTATTGTATTTCGTATCATTGCAATGATACCGTCACCTCCATTCATCACCATTCAAGAGTATTTGCTTCTATTCCCTCTGTTTTGTTTCGGGGTGTGTTTGTTTGTTTGTTTGGATTTTTTTTTCCTTTTCCTTCTCTCCTTCTTAAATAGTCTATTTCTTTCTCTTTCTCCTCCCTTTTCTAGTTCCCGGTCCTTGCCTTCCCAGCATGCCACAGTGAGGGGGTATTACCAGGTCCACTGTAAGCTGAGTCTCAGGAGCAAGGTTTGTAAGGACAAAGGAGGGCCAGGAGCAGCACTGACTGCCTAGATATTTCTTGTGAGCTGTTTGATCTTAGACAAATTGCTTTACTTCTTTATGCCCCTGTTTTCTCATTTGTTAAATAAATAATCAATCAATATAGGCAAGATACCTAAAACTGTGATTGGCACTATTATAAGGGTTGTTATGATCATTGTTATTATACCTTGCATCTCTGCTTCTACCAGAGTCTTGCAGGTGCATGGAAAGGGCTGGGCTTGAGACTTGACCCTTGGCACCTCTAAAGAGTAAAAAGAAGCCACTGGTAGAGGCTTAGAGTCTCTGGTGATGCAAAGAGTTAATGTGCTCAGCTGCTAACCGAAAAGTTGTCCCATAGCATCTAACCAGAGGAGCCTCAGAAGAAAGGCCTGGCACTCTCTTGAGACATCAGCCAGTGAAAACTCTATGGAGAGCTGGAACTGACTTGACAGCACATTTGTGTTTAAAATTTAAAACAGTGAAAGAGCACAAATTGTGAGCTATAACACTGTCTGGTAAGTGTAAATTTTAGGTTAGATAAGAAATCTTTTCCTGGTATTTACCCACATGAAAAAACGAGCCACAACATGAGAAGATATATGCACACCAATGTTCATAGCAGCACTATTTACAATAGCAAAAAGATGGAGACAGCCAAAGTGCCCATCAACTGAAGACTGGATAAACAAACTGTGGTACATACACACAATGGAATATTATGCTACCTTGAAGAATAACAAGGAAGCTGCAAACCACCAGTTAACATGGATGAACCTTGAAGACATTATGTTGAGTGAAATTAGTCAGTCACAAAAAGAGAAATATTGCATAGGATCACTACTGTAAAAAACTAAGAAAAAGAACCCATACTAAATGGGGGTGGGGGGAATTCTTTGCTGATTGCTGAAATGTTGGGGGTGGGGTAAGCAGAGGGAGGGGAAGTTAGAGCACAGGGCAGGGAATAGACATAGGATAGTTTTGGTGCTGGGGGGACAATATATAAGAAGGGAGAGGGGAATGGAAGAACAAAGCAGATGGGAGAACAATTAGACAGGTTAGGTTTGAATGGGCTAAGTGGGACAGAATCACAGCAACTCACAAGGCACCACAGTGTGACAAACTGACAGACAAGTGGTGTCGAGGAAAAGTAGGAATAGAGAAATGACGCAATTAATTTTAATTTTCCCTCTTCCCACATACCAGAACCCTAAACACAGGGATTTATGGAAATACTTAAAATATGAGGGGGCTTCAAAAAGTTTGTGGAAAAATTCCATTATCTTTTAATTCCGTTTTTTTCCACAAACTCTTTGAAGTAGATGTTACTTTATTTCTGTTTCTTAAAGGGAATAATAGCTTTACCTGGTCTTTCCACTTTTATAACTTCTGCTCCAAGATCTCCTAAATTCATAGTTGAAAAAGGCCCCGCCAGTACTCTGCAATATAAAAAATGAGAAAAAAAATTATCATCTTGAAGAATTTTATATTAATTTTTTTCTTAAAATTTCTTCAGTACAGAAAAGCGCATATAATGCTAATGAAAATGAAAACTGTCCAAAGTGTTCTAGAAAGTGCTTTGGTCAATGCAATAATTCTCCTTCTAAGGCTCTACCCTAAGGAAGTAATCAGGAACCAAAGTGTAAACCTTTGTGTGCAAAAAAGTTCACTGAAGTCTAGTTTTTAATCATGAAGTACCTGAGGATAGTTATATAATGGTTACATCTATAAAATAAAACCATCCTATGTTTTTGTTGAATTTTCAACAACATAGGGAAATATTCAAAGCACAACATTATGTTTAAAATGTGGGTAAAACTAATTTCAATAATGTTCCAATCTTTGTTTTGTGAAAATCATATATAAATATGTAGATTAGAAAGAAATGAACAACTTAGAATAAGGAGATTACAGATTTTTTATTTTTAGTTTTCTAACAATAAATATCTTATAATCCAAAATTCAATGTTTTGAGTAAAAGGGGAAAGGTCGATCCTCAAAGCCTATTTACACCAATACAAACCTTGTAAGATCCAAAATTCTTATGCCTTCCAGTGGCTTCATATTGTCAATGCCTGGCAAAACACAGATGATATTTAGAATATTCATTACTAATTTTTAGAAGGAAGGGTGTAGAATTTTAAAAATCTGTCTCAAGCAATCTCTACTACCAAAAAAATGTGTTTTTCCTTCACATCATTTCTGTGTTATACGTGTGTGACACAGTAAGTTTTAACTTGATCCAATTAAAAGTCAGTCTGTAAAAATTTAAACCTCTAATACTAAGTTAGGAAGAATGGTTTAGTAATCTACTTCTGATAATCAGTAAGTAAAACCCTATGGATCACAACAGTCTGGTCCTAACAGATCATGGTTATGGTGCAGGCCCCAGCTCCTGTTGAACACATGGTCACCACGAGTGGAAGCCAACTCCCCAGCAGCTAACAGCACCAGCAAATACCAGATTATTCCCAATTAACAAAACCCACAACTATACTAAAAGTATTTTGTCTAATTAAAAAATACCCTAAGATGTAGGATTCTGAAGGTAGCAACAAAGCTCTCTGCATGTTTGATCTCTAGGAGGAAAGAGTGTGGGCGGGGGTGCGGAGTAGTTTAGTAAACAATTTACAATCTCATGTGCATTTCCTTTTTTCACTTCACCCATTGTAGTGCAGTAATTTACTTGATATGGTTCTTTTAGCCATAGTCTTTGAAACTCCCACCAAAAGACAGGGCAGAACCAAGCAGATTGGGTGTATTTCATCTTTTCCTGCTGGGTTTGGCAAGGAAAGATATTGATAGGATTTATGATGCATTGTAAGTAACTGTTAATGGGGTTCATTTTAAATGTAAAAGCTTAGATCGCTAATGTGGAGAATTAGTCAATTTTGCCATCCTGCTAGGATGATAAAATGAGTCCTCCCAAAAGCAGCAATGGGGGGATCTCTCTACCATCAAGAAAGACAAGTCAGGAGTGGAGTGCATCCTTTGGACCCCAACATCCCTGCATACTGAACCTCATCAATCCAAGAGATGGAGAGTTGTGACACCAGAGAGGCAGCAGGAGAACCAAGAGCAAGAGCAGTGGGCTTCAAGCCCACAGAGCAAGTAAAGCTAAGAGCCTCCGGGTAGGAGACTTCTTTGTAGAGTGGGGTGTCTCCAGGCAGTTAATTAGGGGAGCTAGGTTTGCTGACCTGCAGAACTAGAGCTACATGCCTTCAGGCTGAGGCTTATGGTAGAGTGGCGTGACCTTTAGGATCATATCAATAGTTCTAAAAGTGTTTTGTTGGATCCACAATTAGCACTCATGGAAGCAGCATAAGAAATTAAATGACATAATGCATTAGGCAAATCTGCTGTAAAAGACCTCTTTAAAGTGTTCAAGAGCAAAGATATCAGTTTGAGGGCTTGTTGTTGTTGTTGTTAAGTGCCATAGAGTCGGGTCCGACCCATAGCAACCCTGTACAGGGTTTCCGAGGGTGTAAATCTTTACGGGAGTAGAAAGCCTCATCTTTCTCCCACAGAGCGGCTGGTAGTTTCGAACCGCTGACCTTAAGGTTCGCAGCCCGATTCGTAACCACTACGCTACTAGAGCTCTTGCCTAATTCAAACCATGGTATATTCAATATCCTCATATGTCCAATTTGGAAGTTGGATATTGAAAAAGAAAGATCATAGAAGAGTTGATGCATTTGAGTTATGGTATTGGAGAAGAATATTAAAAGTACCTGGACTGCCAGCAGAACAAACGGATCTGTGTAGGAAGAAGTACAGCCAGAATGTTCCTTAAGAGGTCAGGATGGTGATACTTTGTCTCTCATACTTCAGACATGTTATCAGAAGGGATCAGTCCCTGGAGAAGGACATCATGCTTGGTAAAGTGGAGGGTCAGCAAAAAAGAGGACGATCTCCAATGAAAGGGACTGGCACAGTGGCAGCAGCAATGAGCTCAAACGTAACAATTGTGAGATTGGCACAATACTGGGCAATGTTTCACTGTTGTGCTATGAGTTGGAACCGACTCAATGATACCTACCAACAAAGAGCTCTTGTGGCACTGCAAGCAGGGTGAAGGCCAAAGGAGCCCATGGCTGAGAGACTAAGGACTTGAGAGAGGTATGCCTGTGGGCATGGCTGGGAAGACTTATGCCCTGAGTTTCTGTTCCTGAATTGTAACCTGTCACTATAATCCTGAGTATTGTCTGAGTTCTGGGTAGCCACTGCAATGAATTATTGAACCCAGCAGAGAAGTCGAGAGTCCTGTAAGAGAGATGGTTTATGTCCGAATTGCTAAGGAAGGTTGGAGGGTAAAGGCATGTCTGACTTCTGCCTCATAGGAATTGGTCTTGGGTTGATGAATTTGATTTTCCTTCCCCTTTTGAAGCCAGATATCACATACTGGCCCAACAGTATTTTTATACTCATAAACTATAAAAAGAAGTATGTCTAGAATTATATTAATAACTAACTATATGCATGGAATGGCATCATTAAATCACAAAGTCAGATTTTAGCCAAATGGCTTACAATATTTAGATCAAACTATATGAAAGAAGATGATGCACTATCATTTCAAATATTTATAGAAAGTTCTCAATGTAGATCCATCACGAGTGGATTATGAACAAGGTTATAGAATGCACATACTTTTATGTACTGTGATGCAGCGAATTGTCTAATGTCTCTTCTAGCCATGGTATGTAATTCCCACAAAACAATGTTTCTGCCCTGCTGAGTTTGGGAAAGAGCCAGTAGGAGAAGATATTAATAGGATGACATGATTCAGCTGTGGTTGTTAACAGAGTTCATTGTAATTATAAAAACTTGAAACACTAGCGTGGGTATAAATGTACCATCTCAGAACCAGGAGGATGGATCTCACTACCATCACAAAAGAAGAGCCAAGAGTGGAACTTGTCCTTTGGGCCCCAAGATCTTTGTGCAATGAACCTCCTTGACCCGGGGACAGAAAACTGTGACACCAGAGGAATGGCAGAGAAGCAGCAGCAGCAGAACCAAAACTTAGAACACAAGCCAGAGCAGTGGGCTTCACAGCCCACTGAACAAGTCCAGCTGAGTGACTGTGGGCAGGCAGCGTGCTTAAAGAGCAGGGTGCCTCCAGACACTTAAGTGAGGGAGCTCCATTTGCTGACTGATGGAGCCATGCCGAATGCTTTCATGCGGAGTGGTGTGTCCTACGGCAATGCATCAGCAGCTATCTGGAACAGTGCCCAGAGCATTTCTGAACACGGATTGTGACCTGTTAAATTCCCTGATAAGCCCTGTAACGGTTGGTGTGGTGTCTAAATTCTGTGTGACAACTGCAGTGGACTGTCAAACCCAAGTGAGGAGTAGAGAGAGGTGTGGGGAGAATGGATGGTTGGTATTTCATATTTTGCACATATACATAGACTTGAGATGGATCCGCGAGAGTACAGTGATTCTTAGATAAGAAGTTCACAAACAACAGTGCTTTCGTACCAAATATTGGAAGTTCATATGGTATGTATTTGTCCTTGAAGTAAGCCAATTTATTCTTTTCCAATAAGGAATTGCTGTCACAGCAACAGGAGATATGAGAAGTTCATGAGATTGGTACTTTATGTTCTTGAACATACACTTAAATTGAAACCAGAAGGTACCTTGATAAACAGGGGATCAAAAAAAGGAAAGTAGTTGAAACAATGTAAAATGGGAGAGGCCCTCTCAGCAGGTCCAAACCCAATCAAGCAGGCACACAAGAAGCGCAGGTGAGTCCAGCAGAATGGCCCAGTCAACCAACAGAATTCTGAGAAAAAAATGAACCTTTGTTATTTTAAGCCACTTTCCCTTTTCGTTGGGAAGTGAGTTACATGTTGGGCTGCAAACTGCTTCTAGCTGCTCCACAGAACCCTACACAGGTTGCTATGAGTTGGAACTGACCCCATGGCATTTAACAACAACAACAACAATTGTGGTGTCATAGATAAAGCAATACATTGGCACAGAGCAAAGATAGCCTATTGTAACCATCATGGTGATCCCTTCAAAACATAAAGAAAATAATCTAATTTCTCTGCTTAAAATCCCCTAGTGGCTTTTTACCACACTTGGTATAAAATCCAATGTCCAACCACAGCCAAGACTCGGCGTCTTCTGGTTCGTGGTGATCTCTCCAACTTTGCTCCCTGTCACTCTCCCTCTCACGCACTCTTCTTCAGCTATATTAACCTTGCAGTTCCTTGAACACACCAGGCAGATTTCTGTGTCAGGGTCTGTGGCAAAAAATAGAAACGTATCACTAGATCCTTTTCAAGAAGGACCTGCCACCCACATGTGAGAAGTGGGCTTAGTTGCCACCTCCAGCTATTAGCTTCATCAGAGTCCACATGAGTTTTCCAGGTGGGAAGCCATGATGGTCAGGGCAGCCCCTGGTCAAAATATTAAGCAAAGTGGGAGCAGAAAGGCCTCGCCATTTCCTCCACTCGGTGAGTGACGGTGGTAGCACCCTTCCTTTGGGTTGGTGGTGGTGGTTGGTGGTTATGTGCCATCGAGTCGGTTCCGACCCATAGCGACCCTGTATAGGGTTTCCGAGGGTGTAAATCTTTACGGGAGTAGAAAGCCTCATCTTTCTCCCGCGGAGCAGCTGGTAGTTTCAAACCGCTGACCTTAAGGTTCGCAGCCCGATTCGTAACCACTACGCTACCAGAGCTCCTTTGGGTTACGGCTCTGCAATTCCCCCACTGGATTGGAGGATATTTTGTCAGGTCAGCCTGCAGTCTGATGGCTCCCCAGGTTCAGCCCCATTTCCTTCTTTCCCTTTCACAGGTGTTACACCCAAGTAAGCCCTTCCCCCGTCCAGCTCCATCTTCGTCTCCACATTTGCTTTCTGAAGAACTCAACACATGCCAAGGTCTTTGCACTTGCTATTTATTCCCTATGCCTGAATTCTCTTCCTCCATATATCTGCATGTCCTGCTCACTCCATAAAAATGTCTGCTCAACTCTGGAAAACAGCATGGTATTTCCTCAGAAAGTAAGAAATACCTTATGACCCATGATTCCTTCTACTTAATATATATCCACAAGAAAT